GTCACCAGATTGGTTTAAAAAACTCACACCACTTTTTCATCCAACTAGGAGTAAAGCCATAACCAATCAGGATTCACTCTCATACGTTTTCCTGCTAGAGTGACGTTTTACTGCTAGACTAGAGTGACACTCGATATTATTGAAAACTGCTCTATCAGACATTTGGAGTTAATTTAATAAGAACATCCTTGTCCACTGTAGAAAAACTCATTTGTCAGTTGAAGGAGTATGTCACGGTGATGGTTTAAATATTGCCCACAAGGAAGGGTACATCTGTGATCAGGAAAAAAAATGGGAAGGAAAAGAAAGGAAAGGAAAGATCAAACAAGAAAAGGGATGGTAAGAAGTGATCATGTTTCAACTGTTCAACATCTATAGAAGCTGTCATCAGTTGTTTAATCTCTCAATACATTTTTCAGTTATCAATACATATTTTGGTACTGTGCATAAAAATAATTGGTTAGGTAGAAACCAAATTACATTGGGTTAGCAACACATTCACACTGTCTGAGTAACACAGACCCTTAACAAAAATGGCTGCCAAAAAAATCCTTTTGTATGCATTTAAATTAGCCTCAATAGATTCATTTGAGAGCAAAAATGCTTTTGAGTTATCAGCTCAAAACGAGGTTAGTCAGGCTAATTTTAATATTCAAAAGAATTTATAATTGGCAGCCATTTATGAGAATGGTCTATAACTCACTGTGAACTAGTACAGTCCCTGCGCTCTTTGTTCTCCACCCCCATATGGAACGGAGAAGGGAGAGTTTAGGTAATGGACTGTGATCTGTTCGTGTGACACTAAGAGTAGTAGTTTTTTATTGTTATTATAGATTGCCCCTGAAATTAAGTCTTATTTTAAACCATCTTCCAAATGGCGTAAATTGCCGTAAAGTACGACACGTAATCAGCGGTTTTATGAAATCAGCGGTCAGACCGAACTTATTTTTCCAACGTCTTACTTGAAGAGTATTTCTACTCCTGGAAGAAAATTAGCTGGTGCCTTTGGCTCAGGTACTCATGACATATCTTTGAAGTTCGCGTCTCTTTCGAAATTCAAACTAAAACAAGAACTGTGTGTTTTGTAACGTTATTTATTGGATGGTGTGTTTTGGTGCGAGATTTCTCCAGTAACGGGCCGTCGTTATGACGTCTTTTTCCCGGTGGTAGACCAATGGGAGAGCATGGAAGTGCTCGCAAAAACGGCTTGCCGTCTGCAGTAGAGTCTGGGAGCATGCTACTACGGAACAAAACAAGAACACTCATGCATGTACCCTTCGTTCCCCTTGATCAGCGGTTAGGAAGCGCGCGAGGAAGCCCGAAAATAAAGGACTTCCGGTTTAATTGCGCACGCGTACATGCCAAACCTTTTGGCTCAAGTCGCGCGTGGCTCAATCGCTCTCCTTGGTCTTTGCTTCCGATTTGAAGCAAAGCAATCAAGATCGATTCTGCAACAGAACTATCGAGAGTCGCTCGTTTCGTCAAGCTTGCACAGAAAGGGGCGATGACTCGAGATACGAAATTCAAACAAGAACAGAACAGGCAACTTCTTATGGGAGCAGGCCGAGCAATTCTCTGAATTCTCTCCTAACATTTACCTACGGTCACGCCCTTGATGTATTTGGAGCCGAATCGTTCGTTCATCGCTTGGTAGCTTTTAAAGAACAGCCGAAATAGCGTGCCATTTTGATCATTGGCACATTTTCCTCTACACAGCCAATAAAATAACTGAGAACTTTTAACCTATAGGTTGAAGCTTTTTCATTCCAGTCTCTACATTTTCACCGAGTTTTCTTTACGCCCGGTCGCTTCAGTGAATAAAATCACGTTCCGTTGCAGTTGACATTTCGTTTAAGTGATACAATGTTTTATAAGTGTCATGGATAAATATAAATCCTAAAGATCAGATGGCTGTCATGCAAATAAATATGTTTATCCTTACTCAATACACGCCAGTGACGTCCACTGACCTCGAAAGCTTGGCTGCACATGATCGCAGCGCTTGGCATGACTGATTCCGAGTAAGTATTAATTATGAATAACGAAAAACTGCCATTTTGAATAAAACTATTCTTGATCCACGCTGTAGAAAAAACGTGTTTCAAAAAGAGTCCATTCGTCTTTGCGAAACCATTTGCGTAAATTTTGATGCTAAAAACGAACAAAAGTGAAGCCGATGTTTGAGGTCCTAGTCGAGGAATCAACTGGTAAAAACATCAAAAAACGAAACGTCAATTTATCGTTCGCTTGGATTGTCGCGATGGAATATTTACCTTTTGAGGTTATAGCTTTGATACTTCTGGAATCAAAAACTCAAAAGCCGTAAAAAGAAGTCGTAATATTTTTCGCTCCGACGGTGCATAAATTATCTTTCCTGTTTCTTGATTTTGAGGGTTTGCTTATTTGTTTTATTTACGCAACAGGAAAGATTCCACTTCTTAAGTTAATGCTTCGGTAGTCTCACAGCTTGCAATATTAATGGTTCACTGGCCTTTTAGTATAGCCCAAATGATAAAGAAGTAAAGCAGTAAGAAAAATCTTTCCGTATTTTGATACAGTCAAACTTCTCTCATTGTCCGGTTTATTTCAGCGGTTGTTCTCGCCCTCGCATGCTCCGTTGTGGCCTCACAGGGTGCGGCGCTGGTGCTCTTCTGACGTGGCGGGGAAAACACCCGCCAAATATCACGCCACCTGGCAGGCGTGTCATCCATAGCAAATCTCTCTCAATCCATAGAATTCTTGCGCTCGAAAGCAACATGTTAGTCTCCCGCTTGCTTCGCCCTGTTTCGTGGGCCGTGTACACAATGAACCCGAACTCGGAGTCAACATCTGTAATTCTAAACTGACACTGAGTCGTGGTGAATTTTTTTGACGAGCGATTATCAAACCCCAATGGATCTTAACGTAAACTGGACGGATGTTTATATGAAGCACACGACAGGGACACAAGGTTCGGCCTTCCACGAAACTGTGGCCGTAGGGAAGGTCATCGCCTTGTCTCTTATTCTGGCGGTTTCCACGACTGGCAACGTCTTGGTCTGCTACTGTGGTATACGTTCCCCGCGGATGTCGGCCATGAACAGTTTAATCGTGAATCTTTCCATTGGAGAACTCGCTATTGCGTGTATAGCTATTCCACTCAAGATCGAACAAGAAATCTTAGGGGAGTATTTGGTTGGAGGTCCGACAGTCTGCAAGTTACTGGAATACGCCCAGTCCGTTGCTCTGGGATCAGTTACAGTAACGTTATTAATGATCAGCCTGGACAGACTTTACTCAGTGTTTTATCCTCTGTCCAAGATAACTCGTCGTCAAGCTCGGTACATGAGTGTGTTTGCATGGTGTTACGCACTGCTCTTCGCTAATCCTGTCTTGTACTATTTCTTGGGATCAAAACACCAACCCAGAGCGTTGTTGTTCAGCTGTGACAAGCATACGGTTTTGCCGTGGAAGGACAAGCTTTATTCCTTGGTGCAACTCTGGGCGATATTTATGTTACCCATCATGATCATGACTGTAACGTACTTCGCAGTGGTGAGTAGGCTGCTAAAACCTGATTCAGCTGACCGAGCCGTTAGCAAGGTGGGCGCGCGCGAAGCAACCCCAGACGTCCCAATAAACATTCACCGCCGATTCACCAGCTCTCTGCGCTCCAACGCTGTACCGCTAGCCAAGCGAAAATCCGTGGTTATGAACCTTATAGTCATGGCGACTTTTATATTTTGTTATGCCCCGTTAGCGGCACTTTACGCTCTGGAGACCGTGGGAAATCCCAAGCGAAAAAGCTTTGAGATATTTCGCGATTTCGCGTGTTTTCTGGCTTTGGCAAAGCTGTGCGCCAATCCGGCTGTGTACAGCTTTTTCGACAGCAATCTTCGGGATCAGATGTGCCGATGTCATGCGAAGCGATCCGATCAAAATTCGCCGGTTCGTCAGCAGATTATTCACCCTGGGATATGCATCCAGGGAAAACTCAGTGAATTGAACGTCAGTAACTTTGGCAGACTCGCTGACTCGAAAGGGCAAAGCCCTGTTTTCAAGGAGCCGCTGTTGCGGGTGTCTTCGGGGTCGAACCCGTCGCCGAGTGTGCCTGGGGCTAAGCGGGAGAAACTGGCGCGACTTATTTCCAACACTCGACGCTATCGTAGTCTTGGGCTTTCAACATGGAGAAGTTCAAACATTTGAGAACATCCAGCGTTCAATGACAAAGTAATGATTGTAAACAAAAAGAAAGAAGTTATATAGTTCAATGATTTGTGAAAGGAACTGATGCGAAAATTACATATAAAGTTGTTACTTGATCATCAGTGCACATCACCAATTTTGTAGGTATTATTTTACATTGTGCAATGTAATTAAGTGTTTTGAGATCGAGAAGTCTTGTTTCGAACCTGTCCGGGTTCACTGTGTTATTTTCAGGGGAAGACTCGTTAATCCCACGGTGCCTTTTCTGGGACAGATACAAGATTTTAGAGAAGGGGGCTCGAGATACTAAAGGCCATCTCCTGTAGGGAGTGCGGGGATTTTCTCCCCCGAAAATGTTTAAAATTGAGTTCGTCGGAAACAGGACTAGATTTCCGTCATTCTGAGGCCAAGTCAGCGTGTTATGATGTCTCATCTTTTTTTTTTTTAATTTAGGGGTTCTACCGAATCCCCCGAACCCCCTAGATCCGCCCCAACTTTTCTCTAGGAAGGTGTAGATATACAGCAAATTGTTGGAGTCAACAGCGATGGATTAGCATCCCATCCAGGGGAAGTGAGAATTCTCCTAGTCTCTCCCAGAAAGTAGTGCTAAGCCATCTTTATAACTGACTGGAAGAGCTTTATATATTTGTAATGTCTGTTTTTGATTTGAATTTATTAGTGCATATCTAGGTTGGCTCAACATTTGTCCCATTCCAGCAGCTAGTGATCACTGTTATCTTAATTCTATTTACAATGCCGTTTTTATAATATTCAGTTTTTTGTACGTAGTTCAAATAATACGTGAAAGCAAAGAAACTAATATTTTGACTTCAATCTAAATTTTCCAAAAAAGTGCAAACAGTGTATGAAGATTACAGCTTGAATGCAAAATTGTTACCTTGCGAAACTGGTTGTTCTTCGATGGCAAAACATTGCCATGTAGGCCGATCGGTTTTGTCGACTTTCATCCACTTTTATTTGTCGCAGCACAAATAAAGGCAAGCTGCTCAGAATAATTGGAGGCGCGGTGGCCTCATCGTTAGTGCGCTCGTCTCCTGATCGAGTGGTCCGGGTTCAAGCCCTGGCCAGGGACATTGTGTTGTGTTGTTGGGCAATACATTTTACTCTCAGTGCCTATCTCCACCCGGGTGTATAAATGGGTACCACCGAATTTAATGCTGGGGGTAACCCGGCGATGGACTAGCATCACATCCAGGGGGGAGTAGAAATACTCCTAGCCGTTTCATGGTAAACCGGGTTAGGCTCCGGCTTGATGGGCCACTTGGCTCGCATGCAGGCTTTACCTACTCAAACTATTACAGTATCTAATAAAATCATTAATGAGTCATAACTGGCCGTTAATTACCTTATATAGGGAGGAAAACGTTTTATAAAGGACTTAATGCTCTGAGTTTTCATTCTACCTGGCTCACGTGTCGAGGTAATGATATTTGTCGTACATATAATCAGTGCACACTGAATTGACACAGAACTTAAAAATATATATCATAGAACTTGAAGAGTTAGAAACTTAAATCAATGTGTTATTTTATCTCGAGTGCAAGAAAACACAAAGGTGTTTGGGTGAGAGAAAAGCTATTAGAGAAATCAGATTGAATGCTACAAAGTAGGTCGGATGAAAGAGTGCTTACAGCTCATCTTGCAGTTCACTGAACTGAAGCAAATATTTTACGCACTTGAGAAGTCACCCTACTCGACATCATCATTACTGAGACGTACAATGCGGGTTTGTTTTTGATACTCATGGCGCGCTTAAAAGAGTTACGTCATGGTTTGCGCATCTTGAAAAGTTTAGCCTAAACTTTTCAAGTTCGTCGTTTGTAATCCTTGTTAATCTTCTCAATCCTAAACACCCTTGGTCCTTTATGGCTTATTTTCATCTTTTTAGTGTTTTCTGTTGTAGTAAGCTACTAGTTTCAAATTTCCTTCAATTTAAAGGTAGCATTGTACCTGGTGAAAAATAACTCAAAATACCGTGACTGAGCTCCTTTAGAATCCTAAAAGGCATAAAAACGGCAGGTTATGAATGACAAGTGGACTGTCTTTAAAATCAGTGAATCGCGATAATTTTTTTATCTGTCGAGCTGTTTGAGTTCTGCGATAAACCATATTTACCTAATACAGTCTTTAGTAGCTTGAAAAATCACTGACAAAATCAGTTATTTCCTAATAAAAAAAAAAAGCACTTTATGTCTTTTCGTTGTAGTCGTGGTAATCACAAGGTCTAATTTTATTATGTGCCAATATTTCTGTTAAAGTTCCGTGTCAACATCAACATGTTTGGTCACCAAACAATGTTTGATCGTGTTTGATCGCCAAACATTTCCCGTTTTGGCAGGGCTTTAGCGAAATCATTAGCCTGCGGATACAACGTCTTTTATCGCTCCCGGCCGGTTTGGCGAAATCACACGAATAGCGGATTAGCACGATGACGTCATTTGACTACAACTACCAAAATTAACATTGTTTTTCATTCATTATTTAATATCATTACCCTAATTGTCATGAAAACAAGAATAGTAAAGGATTTTGGTTTTTGCAATCAGATGACTCCAGCACCAGAAACCAGACACCCTAAATGTGTGTTAGGTACGCAAACCGGTTTACTCAGGTTTTCTACAGCCTGAAGAGTAACAATAACTGAAATTAACAGTTCTAACGCATTCTCGGTTGTTTCTGAGTTTTGATTTCAGGTTCAAATTACTTGAACCTGAAGGCGTTACGTATACGTCAGTGACGGTTCGTCTTGAAAAGATCAGCATTTTTTTTTTCGAGTTTCTCGTATCTATCGTAATCTTCCTCAGTTGTGTGACATCGTTGTTTATTTCCATTTGATTGTTTCTTCTTTGGTTTTTTTTTTCTTAGAAATAAATTATCTTAAGATTTCCTTCCATTTGAAGGTAATAGGCCATATACTCGACTGTAACTAGCTTGCAATGGAGACACATGCGGGGGAACATTATAAAAAAATAGATTAATGTCCTTTGCATTTGAAAAGACTGCCCGCATTAGCTTCAGTTGCAAGCTAGTTACAGTCCAATACCGAGAATACGAAAATGGTCTCTTCGTATATCATAATCAAAGAGCTCCAGAACGTGCCGCTTTTGACATTCTCAGTGGTCTCATTTTGGTTTCGAGTAATCTAAGCTGAGTCAAAAGTCGCCAGCTTTTTTGTTTCAAGAAATTGCCATTCTAAACACCGAATGCAAATATGGTGGGTCACTCGCCTTGCATACAGCTGACGCGCCCGAAATTTGAATTGACCAATCAGGATTCAGTAGGCGGGGAAAGTCTACTGTCTTCAATTCAATGTAAGTTAACAAGAAAAGTATTGAAGTCAGGCACCTTTTCTCACTGGAAACGGCATCAAATATTCACGAAAAGGAATTTGTAATTCCAAAAACCATATCAGATCGTAAAAAGTGAAAACTATGAAACATTTTGAGCCTCCAAGCTTCTAATTTGGCGCCAACGTCAGGCAACTCGCTCGTAGTTCGTTGAGCGTCGCCAGGTAGGATAACAGTTCTGTATTCTGAACAAAATCTGTAGTTCCTCATCAAATTAAACCCAGGATTCTCAAGTTAACCATTAGAAGAGGCCAAAGCAACATTAGCATTGTCTTAATTTGTGTTAGCTGCGCAGAAAATTACTATTATCGTGTCGTTTCGGTGAGACAGCTAAGTTTTGACTGCCGCGCGTACTGCGGGCGCAGCTGCCGTATGCAAGGCAGAAGGTCTTGGCTTAGTAGTAAAACCTGTCAAATATATGCGCAGGCCTTATGCGGCGAAGTTTTGGATGTCGGTCATTCCTTATATCAGGCTGTGTTGATTGGCAGAGCGAAGAGAGCGCTTTTTGACATAATGTACTAACACAAAATTCCAGGAAACTCTGAGGTGTAAAATGCATTGTTTTTAATCATGCTTTGTGCTGTTAACGGTAAAGCCAACACATAGTTAGTTTATATACCCCATCAAGATCATTACAAAACGGAATACAGCTGAATAAAATTCAATATCAGGGTCTCGAATTTACATTTACTTTTTTATGCTCTTTCGTATAGTTTTCCCTGATCGTGCAATGAAGTTTTCGTCCATATCGATGTCTGTTAACCTCATATTGCTGTCAGGTCAAAATTCCGGCAGATTCCATCGTTGAACGATTGCAGAATTTTCAAAATATAGTACAACGTCTTTCTCCTGAACGTCTCCTTCGTATAAAATGGGTTTTTTTCTTTTTTTTCCTGACAGCTGAACGTGATTGCTTGATAACATCACTGTTGTCTCAACTAGTGATTCTCGCGGTCCAACATAGGTTTGGCGGGATGCGGGATGAAATAAATTTTACTGGCGGGATGCGCGATAAGAAATACTTCGGCTGAAACACGATTTGCTCATTTTGACAGGCGGGATGCGGGATAGCTTTAAAATTGACGGCGGGATGCGGGAAGAACAACATAAAAATCACAGGCTATGGACGTTACGCGGGGAACTTCAAGTCTAACCAGGCGGGATCTCGATAAACATTCTGACTGGAGTAGGATGGTGGGATAAAGCCAAAAACAGTGGCGGGATGCGGGATTGGAAAAGCCTATGTTGGACCCTCGGTGACCAGTGAGCGTTAATATCCCGCGGGAAGGCCTCCTTTTCTGTAGTCAGATTCTGCGTAGATTTGAGGTACCAAACTGTACACGTAGCCTTTTCGTTTTCCGTGGGAATCAACCATTTTGAACTTGTGAGGGTTTTTCACAATTCCCTGGACTACTCCATGGCTAACGTCGCTCACGTTTACCTAAAATGAGAAGAGACAAAGTAAGGTCAAGTCTGCATACGAGCCAAGAAGTCCATCAGGCCGGCGCTTGTCTCCGGTTTCAGTAG